TTATTTGTCATACCTGGCTCATTTCCTGGTAGGCACTCTAAATAGCATCTAATCCTGCTGTTGCTTGCATAATAGCTTGAGTCATAAATTATTTGTGTTGCTGTTGGGAATACACATGGCTCACTAGATTTGCAGTTTTTATTTCATGCAATTGCATTATACAGCTGCCGTTTTCATATTCCTTCAATTCTTTCAACTGGTAATCTTTTCATAAATGTGGTTTTTTGAGTTTCATTAAGATTATTAAGTGACAGCAAGAAAAAATAAATGCTACATGTGAAAACAAGCTTCATGGATTGAATTGGCCCCCCCCCCCGCCCCCCCCAAAATATGTGTCAACTTGACTGGGCTAAGATTCTCAGTGTTTTGTAGTTATGTAGTGATCCCTGTGATATGATCTGATGTGATAAGCCAGTTAGTTGTAAGGGGATTAAGGGTGGGATGCAACACTCAATCCTGTCACAGCTCTGATCTGGTGTAAGGGGAGATCCCTTGCAACATCTTTTCTGTTACAAGAGAAAGAGACAAGCTAAGAGAAAGGGACCTATTACCCTCAATAAAGAAGAGCCAGAAGCAGAGTGCATCCTTTGGATATAGGTCCCGATACTGGAAATTCCCAAGATTCGGGGGAAGATTGATATCTAGACATATGGAGATCTCCAAGGAACGTCTGGTCTACAGATGCTGAAAGGAGCCAAGGACCCACCTCCTAAAGTGTGCACCAACAGAGAGAGAAAGGCTTCCCTTAGAACTTGGTGCTGTGAATTTGGACCTTTTTGAGGGAAAAAAACATTGTTTGTTAAAGCCTCCTACTTGTGGTATTTCAGTTACCGTAGCATTACATAGCTAAGACACAAGCATATTAGGTAAATTGTGAAGGTAGAGTATGCTTTGAAATGAGATTATTTTTCATAAAAACAAAATTTACAAAGAAAAGTACCATAGTGAAAAATTAGTATTAAAAATTAAAGTATTGCTTTATAATATTATAAAATGGTTAATGTGTGATTATTCATTTAATACTGTTAAAAGTCTTCTACTTCTATATATACATATTTTAAATTGTGGTAAAAATATACTCATTTGATCCCAATGCTGCTGCCACTGTGCCAATCCATCTCATTGGGGGTCTTCTTCATTTTCTCTGACCTGCCACTTACCAAACACAATATCCTTCTCCAGTGACTGACTGATCACTCCTAAGTACATATACTTAGTATATGTATATGTATCCCAAGTATGAGAGAAAGTTTGGCCATCCTGGCTTTCAAGTAGCATTCTGGCTGTACTCTTCCAACACAGATTGGTTTGGTTTTTTTGGTAGCCCATGGTACTTTTAATATTCTCCTTCAACACCATAAATCAAATGCATCAATTCGTCTGTAGTCATATGCATTTGAAGTTATTGAAAATACAGTGGCTTGGATCAGGCGCATCTTAGTCCTCAAACTGACATCTTTGTTCTTAAACACTTTAAAACAGTCTTGTGCAGCAGATTTGTTTAATGCAGTATATCGTTTGATTTCTTGACTTCTGCTTCCATTAGGTTGATTTGAGCAAAATAAAGTCCTTGACAACTTCAATCTTTTCTGCATTTATAAGGATGCTGTTTATGGTTCCAATGGTGAGGATTTTTGTTTTCTTTACATTGCAGTCTTTGATCTTCGTCAGTAAGCCAGAGATGCCCCTATTTTCAAGTTTTCAAGAACAATAACAAAAAATCATAGAGTAAAATGGAGTAAGAACATCCAAATGAAGAAATCAAGTGGATTTCAAGAGAATGAATGAATAATAAATAAACAAAATAAAGTAAAATAAACTTAACTGTAGTTCTGTAACCAGACCAAACCTTAGTCCTCGTCTTAACCATAATCCTAACACTAAACAAAGTACAAGACCTAGCGTAGACCTTAACAGAGTACTAACCCTAACTCCTTATTTCTACCCTCTTAATACAAAATAAAAATAAAAAGGAAAAAGGAAATCAGCAATGGGAAGGATAAAATGAGGGGGAGGAAGCAGGAAGAAAAAAAAGAAAAACTGTAGGAGGTGGGGGACTGAGGGTGGACAGTGGGCAGAACACCTGAGTAGTGTGTCCAGTGGCTGAGGAGTCTGGGGGAGAGAGCACACCTGGCATAGGAGGTCACATTGTAGGTGGGCCTCTTGGTCCTGGATGGAGTTCTTGTCTGACTGTTGTTAAGTGCTGTGTGACTCATAGTTACCCTGTATAGAGTTTGTGAGGAGTGGCTGGTGGGTTTAAATCACTGACTTTGCTATTCAAATTGACCCAGAGGCCCACTGCTTGACTCCAGGACTTGTCTGACTAGAAGGTGGCATTTACTGTCACCAGGAGGTATTGTGTCAAGCTTCCAAACCCTGGGCTGGTGTACACCAGGCAAGTGCTCCCCAAGGGTGTGCCTTCAACCACATATGGAACGGTGGTACATAGGGGCGGTGTCATGGGATGCTAGGTGGGTGAGGACAGTTGCTGGCCATATTCCTGGTCACTTGGAGCAAGGGGACCAACTTGTGAGGTTCTAAGGTAGCAGAGCTGATGATCAGGTCTGTGTTTTGATTTAATGTTGCTTGCAAAAGTTCAAAATGGCCCCACAGTCTCAGGCCAGCTGTTCTGTTTGTTATCTTATTTGCCATTTTTGTTCAGTTTCTACTAGTCAGTATTCAGTTTTCTTTTCTGTGCGTTTCTCTGTAGCTCAGGGCTTCAGGATTATCAATCATATCTGCTTCATTTGGTCTCTTGTGTAAAAGTTCTGGGTAGCCTTGTCTGTTGATTCTATGATCTTGCCAACTTGAAGTTTGTATGAACCAAACAGCTCATAAAAGACTTTTTGTTAAGTGGCATTGAGTTGATTCCAACTCATATGGACCCTGTGTAGGGTTTACAAGGATCAGCTGGTGAGCTTGAATCCCCGCAATTGCTCTTCAAATAGACTTAACCTGCAGTACCACATCCAGACGTTAGGGTCTTAATTTTAAGATGTTTTAAGAACTGTGATTCTGTTAATATAACCAAAAGTATTTGTGAAAATAATTTAAAAGCACGGTTTAAAGAAATTGCACATTCATGTGAGGGAATATGATATGAGGGTAGGTTAAAAAGTATTTCTATGAAATCATAGAAACCTTTACTAAATAAAAATATCAAAATGTGGAGCTGTTGTTTCTGGGCATATCCTTTACTGAGGTCTGTATACTTCTGAAGGTGGTGGTTCCATCTTTCTAATCCTTCCATAGTACAGTGCTATGGGTTAATGCTCTGGATTGCAAGGTCGGGTTGAACCACAAGGTTGGTAGTTCAAACTTAACTAGCCGCCCCTCAGATACCCTATATAGGGTTGCTGTGAATCAAAACAGACTTGACAGCATTTAATAGCAACAGAAACTCTTACCTGAAGAATTCTACTGTCTTTGATTTATACCAATTCAAAAGGAGGACTTTGGTGTTCTTAAGGGATGCAAGTCATGTTCCTTTTAAATGTTCTTTGAGTTTGGGGAACAGAATGAAGTCTAAACAGACAAGACCAGGGCTATAGGGTGGAAGAGGTTTTATTGTTGGTAGGTGCCATTGAGTCAGTACTGATTCATAGTGACCCTATGCACAATAGAATGAAATACTACCCAGTCCTGTGCTAACCTCACAATCCTTGCTAGAGTCCATTGCTGCTGTCACTGCCCATACACCTTATTGAGGGTCTTCCTCTTTTACTTGAACACTCCACTTTACCAAGCATGATATTCTTCTTCAGGGACTGGTCCCTCCTGACAACATGCCCAAAGTATGAGAGTCTGGTCATCCTGGCTTCCAAGAGCATTTTGGCTGTACTTCTTCCAACACAGATCAGTTTGTTCTTTTGGCAGCCCATGGTACTTTAATATTCTCCCCAACACCATAACTCAGGTACATCAATTCTTCTATGGTCTTCTTTATTCCCTGTCCAGCTTTCACATGCATGTGAGGTTATTGAAAATACCATGGCTTAGATCAGGCACACTTTAGTCCTCAAACTGACGTGTTTGCCTTGAACACTTTAAAGAGGTCTTGTGTACAGGATTTGCCTAATGCAGTACGTAGTTTGATTTCTCGACTTCTACTTCCATGAGTGTTGATAGTTGATCCAAGCAAAATGAAGTCCTTAACAACTTCAGTCTTTTCTCCATTTATATGGATGTTGTTTATTGGTCCAGTAGTGAGGATTTTTGTTTTCTTTACATTGATGTGCAACCCATACCAAACAAAGGCTGTGATCTTTAATCTTCATCAGTAAGTATTTTAAGTCCGCTTAGTTTTCAGCAAGCAAGGTTGTGTCATCTGCATATCTCAGATTGTTGATGAATCTTCCTTCAATCCTAATGCCTCATTGTTCTTCATATAATCCAGTTTCTTGGATTACATGTTCAGCATACAGATTGAATAAGTATGATGAAAGAATACAGCCCAGGTGCATACCTTCAAACTTCTTTCTAATAAGCCCTGTGATTGTCCTGTGTCCTTTGATAAAATTTATCAAGATGACCCCTTTAGAATTCTAAAACACAGTTGCCATAACTTACTGAGCTGACTGACCTCTCTGCCTTGAGTTTAACTAACCCAACAGATCCCTTTGGGAGCCGCTGTTTGGTTTGGACTTTTTTTTAAAATGTACCCTGAGGAGACTAAGACAGAGATCTGATTGCGGAGACATATTTCAATATGTTTTATTTAGTTAGAATCCTAGTAGCAGTACTTTTTTATTTGCCATTGCATAATCATTAATAATGTTTTAGAAAAATAGTGATGGAGGAAATGCTTAAATTTTGTTAAAATTCTTTCTCTGGTGTTCCAGTTAAGACTATTAAAGTGGCCTTTAAAACATTATGGAAAAATTGAATGAAAAGATAATGTAATTTTTCTATTAATTTACATGAAGTCCCCTCATATTTACAAAAAGAAATTTGAAAGAAAATATATGTTTGGAAGCATAAAAATTTTCTTTCTATTTCAGCTAACCTTCCAGTGCCTACTATTGCAGCCATAGATGGACTCGCATTAGGTGGTGGTCTTGAACTGGCTTTAGCATGTGATATAAGAGTGGCAGGTGAGAATTAATCCTATAAAAAAAAACTGTAATGATAGATTTTGCTGGGAATTTAAAATCTGAATATCATTAATGTGAGCCCTGGTATGGTGCTGTAGGAAAAAGCACTGGACTGCAAGGTCAGTTTGAACCACAAAGTCAGTGGTTCATACTCATCCCTGGTGTGGTGCTATAGGACAAGCTCTGGACTACTAACTACAAGTTTGGCAGTTCAAACCCACCAACTGCCATTTCTCAGAAACCCTGTGTAGGGTTGCTATGATTCAAAAACAACAACAATATGAAGTAATAATGAAAATGATTAGTGCTGCTCAAGAGTGTTGACCAATCACTATTCTAAGTACGTGGTGTGTATTAACTCACTTAATTTTCCTGACAACCCTGTGAGATAGGGACTTTGTTGTACATAAAGAAATTGGAGAACGAGTGGCAAATAGCAGGCCTAAAAACCCAGCCAGAATTTTAGCCCAGGCATTCCAACCCACACTCCCGTTGTCCTGTCCCAGAATGTTGTAGACAGAGCTGCTGTTTTTATTGTTTGTCCACACTCTTCTGTGTAGTTTCAGCTTTTGTCTGTGTCCTTGTTTTCGTAACAAGTGTACCATAGGAACAGGTTCTGAGACTGAGAACTAGGAGAAGCAGGCAGCAAATTGCCACTGTTCTCACTGTCACTTCTGATGGAAGTAAATTATTGAAAGCCAAGTCAGCACAATTCATATTTTTAATAATTTATGATGACAGTTCCTTGAGATTTGTAGCTGTAGTCCACGTGTACATTACCCCCTTTCTGCTGTATTTCAGGTTCCTATTTTCTTCTATAAAATAAAGACTATAAAATACATGTATCCATTTCTAAAATAATGCAGAATATGGGATTTTAGTTGTGGGAAATAGTTCAAATGCATTTGGATATGCAAATAAAGAAATAATTAAGTTGTGAAAACAAACAAGGAGAGGAACTCTGTCCAGCTTTTAGGGTAGTAAACCCATTTGTCAGAAAGTAACTAGAGCTCTGTTCTTGAAGAGGTGCCATATAAAATATGATAGATTATGCAGTTGGATCTGGGGCAGTTGAGTAACTCATGCTTATCAGAAACAATCTCTCTCCCAACTCTGAGTAATTAATAACATATAAGCCTTCTAAGACAGCTTGGCACTTGTTGTTGGTGGTTATGTGCCATGGATTTCATACCGACCCATAGCGACCCTGCGTAGGGTTTTCGAGGCTATACATCTTTACAGGAGCAGAAAGCCTCATGTTTCTCCTGCAGAACAGCTGGTAGTTTTGAACTGCTGACCTTGAGGTTAGCAGCTTGACTTATAACGAGCTGGTAGTTTCGAACTGCTGATCTTGAGTTTAGCAGCCTGACCTGTAACCAGAGCACATCAGGTCTAAATACATTTTGAAGTGTTTTATTTTTAAATTATGACACACATACACACACATATATATACTTATAAACCTTTCCAAGTCATTATATTTGAATTTGATAATATGAATGCTGATTAATTTGTTTTTGTTTTTTTTTTTAAGCTTCCTCTGCAAAAATGGGCCTGGTAGAAACAAAGTTGGCAATTATTCCTGGTGCAGGTATGAATTGTTAACAACTGTCTCTCAATTCTCAAATACAAGGTATAAGACAAAAAGGTGTTCATTGAAAAGGTTATTATCAAGCACAGCATTTAGATAAAGACACTAATGCTATGTTGTTGCTTGTTCCCTCTCAAAGTTCTTCTTCAGATATGTTCTTTTTTAGCTCATGTAGGTGGTAAAGGCAGTATACTCTGGTTGTTGGTCTTTTTCATCCTGTCTCCCTGTGCTTCTGTATATTTAAAAAATTTTTAGATTATTATATGAATCACTTTTTTATCAATGGATCTGTTTCTGAAAAGTATGACACATATATTTTGGTATTTGCTGTGTGAATATAAATGCATTTATCTTCACAGTCAAACAGGAGTGTGGGAGGAATGGGTTCCAAAGCTTGTATTTCTCAGCAGGACAAAGATCACGTTGAGTGAGTAGATAGAATTGGGAGTATTTCTTGTTATTACAAAAATATGTGAGCTTCTTCTGCTCAAAGAATCATTTAAGAAAGCACTTTCCTCAGCATTTATAACGAAATCTTTTCTCACCTGAGAAATTGAAATCTTTTATAATTTTGTTTGATTTAGAGACTTTGGAGCTATTTTTTAAAAGTACACTTCATTTAAGTGTGTGCATATAAAATCAAACTCACTGCCATTGAGTCAACTCTGACTCATAGTACCCCAGTTTAGAGTTTCTGAGGCTGTAAATTTTTATAGGAGCTGAAAACCTCATTTCTACCTCGGAGCAGCTGGTGATAAAGCCTGACCATTGATAAAGCCAATATTCAGAGACAGAAATCAGAGCAAAGAGCAAAGCGCTTATTGAGTATCCATACCCAGGAGATCAAGAGATAGCAAATCTCCCAGATTTCACTCCCCGAGGAAAAATGAGGAAAGTTTTTATAGGGATTTTGGGTTTCAGGTAGTGGTGCCCCCCACTCCCCAACTTCAGGAATTCTCTGTTTGTTTATTCAGTGTCCTGTTGGTTGTCCTAGTCAATCTGTCTCTGGCCGACACCATTAATCTCTCCAGGTTGTGGTTATCCATGGCCATCAAAGATGATATATGGTGGTTTCAGTTACTGAATAGTTCTATCCTTGGGGTAGGGTTTGGCTATTAATTAAAGAAAAATAAGTGATGACTTTGAGAGGAAACTGTTGTATTATGATGGTGGGATGGCCATTCAGACCTTCTTCTATTATATTTCTCTGGCCAGGCTTAAAACCCTTTTAACACCTTTGAAATTCTCATTGTCCCATTTCACTTTGTACATAAAGTAAATGAAAATTTATTAGTGTATGAATGGAATAACAGTAACACTGTAAAAATTAAAGACAATATGGACAATTTTAGATATGCCTGAAAGAAAGGTTTTTAATAAGTTGAGTTTTTTTTTTTTTTTTTCCCTTTCTGTTCAAACTCTTTTAATCAATGTTCCCAACCATTACTGACCTGACCTTTCCCATGTGTCTCAGGAACATAGAGGTGAAGGATTTAGTCCTGTATTGTTGATTAAGACAAAGGTTTCCAGAAAAGGTCATTAACATTGTTTGGGGCAATCATGTCCCAAGATGTAAGGCATTGTGATTTACTGGGACATAAATTGTATCCCCAGGAGCTCTGGTAGCATAGTGGTTACGAATTAGGCTGCTAACCTCAAGGTCGGCAGTTCGAAACTACCAGCTGTTCCACGGGAGAAAGATGAGGCATTCTGCTCCTGTAAAGATTTGCAGCCTCCGAAACCCTGTGCAGGGTCGCTATGAGTCAGAACTGACTCCATGGTACTCAGGTACTCAACAACAACTAGAACAAACTGTATCCCCAGATGAGAGAACCGTAAAACTCTGAGAAAAGAATGTAGCAATGCAGATGGATTGATACCTAGAGGGGTATAAGGGTTTGGACTTTATGGGAGGAAAGCAAGGCAGTCTTTCAGAGAAGAATTCTTGTTGCCTTCCAGATATGCCAATAAAATGCACATTGATTCTCACCCTGTCTCTAATAGTGCCTGGTGGTCAGACTTTTGTCTGATAACATGCCTATATGAATATGTTGGAGTCCTGGTGTGGCACTGTAGATTAAACACTAGGGCTAAACACAGGTTGGCAATTTAAACCCATCAGTTTCTCCTCAGAAACCCTATATAGGGTTGCTATGAGTCGGGAACCTACACAGTGGCACTTAACAACAATGAATGAGTAGGTTAAAATTGTGTGCTTGACTTTATTATTATAATGGGTTTATCCTTATTAGAGTATTATTGAGTTTTGCCAAGCTGATTTTGACTCATAGTAGCCCTATGTGACCTGGTTTCTTGGCTTCACTGTAAGTTATAGTGAAATTGAAGTCCACCCAAATCAATCTGTAGCACTCACTATATATTCTATCAGTAATCCATGATAATGCTATTTTAATAGGCTAAAAATATTTAATATCAACTTATGACCTCTGGTGTGGTGCTCTGGAGCACTGTGAACTACAAAGTTGGCAGTTCAAACCCACCAGCTGCCCCTTTGAAACCCTATACAGGTATGCTATGATTTGGAACTGACTTAATGGTACTTAACAACAACAGTATTCTACCATGCCTTTCTTTTTTTTTTTAATGTTTTATTGTGTATTGTGTGATAATCTACATGGGGGAACATCAGTTTTACATTCATTCCATCATACATCGTCTCATTGCCATAGTTACCATCCCGTCCATGTATTATCACCCAGCCAAAGGGTATACCCTACAATCCTGTCCACCCTCCCCTCACGGTCCTCAGCACACAGCCGTTCTCCCTCCCTGGATCCCCAGTCCCCTGGCACTCCATCTCTTCGCGTTGTCCTCTCTCTTCACATCATCCTCTCTGTCTCAGTCTCTGTCCTCATTGCTCCTCTGGATAGGGTCCCACTCTCCGCTTTTCTCCATTGATGGTCCCAGGGCCCTGCGATCCTACACTGAAAGGTTAATCACTCCCCTCCTTACTATAAAATGTACACCTTTATATTACCAGTCCTCACAATCAGTCCTGGTGACAATCATTCACCCTTGCATCCCAAGGGACCCATCCACATTTCTTTTCATCTGCCCCTCCCAGACAGGTCGGACACTACTCACTGGAGACTCCACCATCCTCACCGCCCTGTGGATCTAGGTTCCCTCTTGAAAGCTTGTAAGCCAGTCACTTCTTACCTTTGTATCCCTTCTCCCATTTTTGATTAGTCAGTGTTCAGGTTGCCCATCCCTATCTACTCTTTGTGCGGAGGGGGTGGTAATAATTCTTGGAGCAGGGATTTGTTTCCACTTTTGAGCTGCTGCATTTATACATGGATGTCCAGTTTATCAGACTGTATCAGATGACGCTTTTTTTTTTTCCCCTCCGCTTTCTTCTTCTTCTGGTTGAGCTTTGTTCGTCCCATCATTGGAGCCATGGCAAGTGGGTATCATCTGCAGGTGTGGGTGTTCCTGCGTCTGTCCGCCCGCTTCTTATCGGTTGGTCACTTCAGTCTCCTCTCTAGTCCTCTGTGGTTGTGTCGCTGACTCTGAGCCCTTGAGTCCCCAGGTCTTTCCTCACTGCTGGCCGACCAGGTCTCTACCTGGGATCACCATAGTCTGCTGAACGATGCAGGGCTTAGCTCGCTGCTTCTTTGATGTTCTTCTGTCACTTCTCTTTATGAGTGACGTGTGGTCGCCAATCAGAACGTGTTTTCCCATTGTGTCTTAGTCTTGGAGGTGGATTTGCGCTGAGAGGACCCGATTGCTTGCCTTGATAGCTCCTGGGCAGAGAGCTTGCTTGTTCTTGTGGTAACAGTCAGACTGCCCTTGTTGTTTTGCATTTTTCCTGTAGGACCTTCTTCCAAGAAGTGTCTTCTGGATTTCTGACTGCTCCAGGCTGGTCTGCTTGTCCTTTCAAGAGGAAAGTTTTCCTTCTCTGATGGTCTGGATGAGGTTCAGGCTTCCTTCGAAAGTTTTATGCAATGCAGAGGCTCCTCAGGAGACCTCCTTCACTAGACACATTGTAGCCCCATTTTAGGTATTCCAATTAGTTATAGGCAGAAGACAGACTTACAAGCTTTCTATGGTGATATTTCTGGCTATTCCTTTCACTCTCCCTCCAGTGACTGTTTTATATTATAATGCATGGAAAACCAAGGTTCAAAAGCTAGCCAAGAACTAGAGTGATGCGGCGCTTCCCTGACCAGGCAACTCAGGTAGGGAAGTCTCCGGGGAAAAGGGGCAGAATCGCACATAGGAAACCACTGTCTAGCAGACAGACAGCCTTTGAACAAACATAAGATCTTATATTTCAACTGTCTGAACTCGTTTTTTTAAAAGATCAAATTACTGACGAATTACAGGCATTTTAAGCTTTTGCCTGCCTGCATGTGGCTCCTGCTTCTGCACCTGCACCAGGAAGTGCCTCTGCCCCCTGCAGACACTGGAATGCAGGGCGAGAGCAACCCCACTTAGGAGGCTGCATTTCCAGAAAAAAGGAAGCATAAACTAACAAAGCCGAACAAATAGAGAGGGATACTGACGCGTATATCAGGAAATTCGGTGTACCCACGGTGCAGAGAGACTTAGAGAAGCATTCTTTACGTCATCAAATACGGACACTGCCTCCCTCCAGCCATTACCCCAGCCCTCTACAACCCCATCCTAGACCAGCACTCTGCCAAGCCACTCAGGCTTAGGAACGCCCAAGGCACAAGCCTGCCCACTGAGGCCAAGGCCCTCCCAAGGGCCAGACACTCCCACTGAGGCCAAGGCCTGCCCTGAGGCCCAACCTGCCCACAGACTGGTCACAAAGGCTCAGGCCCAACCAAGGCCCAAATCACATACCCACCGCCGCTGAGGACCAGGGCCCCCCAAGGCCCAACCCGCCGCACAGCCAGGTTGCTGTGACCCAGTGCCCCTGAGACCCAACCTGCCTGAGGACCAAACAACCCGCCCGAGGCCCAACCTTCCTGCAGCCCAGTCGCTGACATCCAGGCCCACAGAGGCCCAAAGCG